CTAATGCTAAACGGGTAAAAATTAATGGAAGTTAACGCTAAATCACTAAACAGGTAAAATTTAGTGGAAGCCAATGCTAAACTGCTAAACAAGTAGTATAATGGAAGCTAATGCAAAACAGGTAAAAATGTAGTGGAAGCTAATGCTAAACTACTAAAACAAATAAAAAGAAGTGGAAGCTTATGCTAAACGCTAAACTGTAAAAATATTTTGTAAGCTAACTGCTAAACAGGTAAAGATTAGTGGAAGCTATTGCTAAACCGCTAAACAGATAAAAATTATTAGAAGCTAACGCTAATCCCCACAACAACTGTCATACAAACCTGTTAGTTTTCTATTGGTTTAAATTGAAGGTGGGCGGGATCATCTGTGACAAATCAGCTAATCTAAAGCAGAGTTACAGCTCTGTCTATTTTTTGATACTTCCACTTTACTCCTTTTCAGAATAAAAGCATTTCTTTGATCAAGTTTGTATTTTAATAAATACTGTTTGAAGTTAGTCAAACAACAAATGGCAAATACTTTCTCTACCATCAGAATCAGCTTTATTGTCATTCACACACAACATGAAAGATGCATCAACCATATTTTATACATAGTTTTTATGAATTTGTCATTCAAATATTGTTAAATGTTATTTTATTTGTTTTTGACGCTCTTAGTTTGAAGTTTAGCTGCTAAAGCTGCTACAAGCTTCACACAAGGAGACACCTCCAACACTGCTTGTAAGAGGGAATAKTTTTTATTTAATTCAGGATAAACTGTTAAAAGTAAAAGTTTAATGAGCTCCATGTCAGACTCTACAGGCCTCAGGTCAAAGGTCACGCATTGTTTGGAAGCCTGTCAGAAGAAAGTACAGTAGTTTTAAAGCACGGTGGTGGAGGTGTGATGATATGAGCTTGCTCATATAGAGCTCCTAATTAAACAGTTCTGTACACTGAAATGTTTTAACAACTTTTCTTTTTAAAATTTCTTTTAAAAATTAAAAACACTGACCTCATCTTAACCATAAAGGTTTCTGACTCACTAAACTGATTCATAAATCTTCCTCTTCTTCCTGTTGGAGAATGTTTTTTAGCTCGTGCTCAGCTGATTCCAGACATTTCCTCCATCGGCCTCTAATTYTTTTCCTGTTTCCATCCTTCACTCGCTGCATGTCTTCAGCTGCTGCCTCTTCAGGGAGGAAAAAAGATGAATTTGTTCCATAAACTCCATAAAATCTGTTCTGTTCTTGTTTTTCTCTTTGGTCCTTTAGCTTGTTTGTCCAGGATTTGCATCTTCACCTGTTTCACAACAAAAACCTTCGGCCTTGACCGAGAGTTCAGACCTATTAAAGGGATACTTCATATCTTTTAAAGGGAGGTTCTGTCTGTGGAAAAGTTTGGAACACCTTCAGAAAATAACTCCTTAAACATAACGCAGAGCTTTAATGTGCTGAAAAAGCTAATGCTGAGTTATTAAAGCTAAACATATCAAAAGGCGARCTAAAAGTCACAAAATGTTAGCTAACATTAGGGGAAATGGGTAACTAAAAGCCTAAATAGCAAAAAGCTATGCAGAAGCTGCAAAATATTATCTAAAAGTAACAAGAAGTTAGCTAAGATGTGCAAAATGTTAGCATAAAGCTACAATTTAAAAAGGGATAGCTAAAAGCTTAAGTAGCATAAAGCTATGTGAAAGCTGCAAAATGTCAGCTAAAAGCTACAAGTGGCAAAAGGGTGGCCAAAGTTTGCAAAAGACCAGCCTCAAATGAAATAGCAAAAAGCTAACTAAGAGGTAACGTAACAAAAGGCTAGTTAAAAGTTAAAACTAGCCAAACTGTAGCTATAGGCTAAAAATCTAAAACATTAAACTAGCACATAGCTAGGTAAATTCTAAAGTAGCAAAAARCTAGCTTAASAAAARCTAAATACTCAGTGCAAGCTAAAAGTGGAAAAAAGCTGCCTTAAATCTAAAATAGTAAAAATCTAGCTAAGCACTAATATGTTAGATCAAATCTAAAATCAAGAATGGAATAGCTTAAAGCTAAAGTAGCARAAGGCAACTGAAAGCTRCAAWATGTCWGTGAAAAGCTAAAAGTATCAAAAGGCTCGTTTGCAAAAGATCAGATTAAAATGAAGTAGCAAAAGCTAAAGTTAAAACTAGTCGAACTGTAGCTAAAAGCTAAAAATCTGACAAATGTTAGACTAGCAAAATCCTAGGTAAAGGCTAAAATAGCAAATGATTAGCTAAATAAAACAAAAAAACTCACTGCAAGCTAAAAGTATCAAAAGGCTAGTTWAAAGCYAAAATAGTAAAAGCTAGCTAAMTGAAATRCTAGATCAAAGTTAAAATTAAGAATGGGATAACTTAAAGCTTAAGTACCAAAAGGCTAACTGAAAGCTAAAACATATCAGCTATAATAAGTAGCAAAAGGATAGCTAAAGGGAACAAAAAGCTACCTGACAGCTAAAGTAGAAAAAGGCTAGCTGAAAGCTACATTGTAAAACTGCTGTTAAAAGTAATAAAAGGATAGCCAAAGGTAGGAAATGCCATAAGTTAYAAGTAGCAGAACTGTATCTAAAAGGCAAAAATGTAACTAAAACCTTAATGTAGAAAAATGCTAGCTAAAGGCTAAAGTACCAAACGTGTAGCAAAATAGCAGCAACGTACTCACGGTGAGTGAAAAGTGGCAAAAGGCAAGCTAAAAGCGCAAGTTTAAAAATGGATAGCTAAAAAAGCATAAAGCTAACTTAAATMTGCAAATTGTTAGCTAAAAGCTAAAAGTAGCAATGGTTAGCTTAAAGCTCAAGAAATGTACAGAAAAGTGAAATGGCTCTAACTAGCTGTCGGCTCATCAGAAAAGAACTTTAAAAGATCTGAGTCATCTCTTCATTAGTAAAAACTGTCGGTTCTGACAGTTTAACCAAAGATAAATCTTTATTTTTGTCTGTTTTAACGTTTGTTCCTTTACTTTCTGTAATTTCCCTCCTCTGACCGACTCTGTTTTCTCTTCTGTTGGGTTTATATTTATTCCTTCTGTAACTTCTTCTTTTCTTCTTGACCATTTCTCTGCTTCTCTTCCTTTACAAGCTGCTGTAGCTGCCAACACCGGCACTGCTGCCACTGCCGGGGCTCTGGGGGCTCCTGGGGGTCTTCCTCAGGGGGCCCCTGGCTCCTGCAGCCCCGGCCCTGCTTCTCATAACATCCCCTCAGTGAACGAAGGTACACACTGACCTGACGGGCACCACTTAGGGACCTTTTAAAACTTTATTTTGTCTTCCCTAACTTCTGTCTCTGGAGACTCTCCCCTCDTCCTCCTGCTTCGTTCCCAAAATGTTGTTCTTTGTTTTCAGCCTCGCTCTGTGTCCTCCCCTCTGTGCGCCCAGTCCTCCTCCATCACTCCTCTCCCTCTCGTGTCCCGGCTCCTCGTTTCTCCTCTCTTGCATCAGTCTTTGTTTTCCCCCTGCAGACGGTGTTTGTGTTTCACCTCAGGTCTCTAGCTCCAGCTGTTTGACGTCTTTGTCCTTGTTTTTGACTGATATGCTGTTTGTCTGCGTGTCAGAGCAGATTTCAGTCCACTTTCAATCCAATCAGTTGATGAAATTCAATCATTTTGTTTCAGGATTTACTTTAGTTTTATTCTGCAAATCTCCTTCCAAGCAGACAGACTTTCCTGTGATCTTTTAAATTGCTCATGATCAGCCTTTCTCCACACTGCTAGASTTCCTGCAACGATTAGCTTTTCACTGCTGCCATTCATGCAAACCTTAGCTTTAAGCTGCTGCCGTTCCTGCTAACTATAGACTTTTGCTGCTATCATTCCAGCTAACCTTAGTTTTTCACTGCTATCATTCCTGCTAACTATAGCCTTTTGCTGCTATCATTCCTGCTAACTATAGCCTTTTGCTGCTATCGTTCCAGCTAACCTTAGTTTTTCACTGCTATCATTCCTGCTAACCTTAGTTTTTCACTGCTATCATTCCTGCTAACCTTAGTTATTCACTGCTATCATTCCTGCTAACCTTAGTTTTTCACTGCTATCATTCCTGCTAACCTTAGTTTTTCACTGCTATCATTCCTGCTAACTTTAGCTTTTCACTGCTATCATTCCTGCTAACCTTAGTTTTTCACTGCTATCATTCCTGCTAACTTTAGCTTTTCACTGCTATCATTCCTGCTAACTTTAGCTTTTCACTGCTATCGTTCCTGCTAACTTTAGC